CATATTTGATATTTATCGATTTTCTTCTCATAAAATAACCTCTTTCGGTGGTTTATAATTTATCTTGATGTTCTAAAAACAAAAAGTTTTATGTATCTTTGTTTGATGAATATAAATAATAGAGTCCATTTGAGAAGTCAATGGAATAAGTCTGTGATGCCAATAGAAATTAGAAATACGAAAAAAATAGTTTTTTTCAACTTTGTTTATGCTTTTTCCTTCAAGACGAGTAAAAAAAATGAAGCGGTTCAACAAAATATTGAATCGTCATTGAAATTAAATGAGATTCTTCTTTTCTCTTCATTATAATGGATAATTATTTTTAGAATCAATTGTTTATATTTAAGAGCATTTTATAGAAGTCAAACAATAATAGAATGTTGCTATGATTCCGATTTGTTCTTTCTGCTGACAAAAAAATGAGAATTTTCTTTTATGATACAGAATGAAAAAAGAAAAAAAATTCATCAAGGTACTCTCTCCACAAAAATACATTGAATCCTTTTCTATTTTTCGTACGACGATGTTTCAAAAATGAGCGTTATATAGTCGAAAAATGATATTGTTGAAAATTTTTTTTTATTTTGTTTCACATAGAAATCTCTGGATCCATTGTGGATAAAGAAAAAGAAAGAACTCTATTGAAACAACGGAATCGTGAACGCGTCGTGTATCTTTTTTGTTCATTGCTGTTCCGAGTTATCGATGTGTTTTACTTCCTATTTTGTTTCATCGCCTGTTCCGTACTTTTTCTTAGTTAACTTTAGTTCGTACAAAGACAAATTATTCGAACTTTTCAATAGTGGAGAAGATGAATATGATATAACATGTATTTCTGGTATCTTAGCCATCGAAAATTTTACTATCATGAGTAATTTCAAAATACGGTGGGAGATTTCACATTATTTCTTTTCGATTAAAATTATGAACAATAGTCTGTCGCTTAGCATTAGAGCTTCTTGTGCTTTATTATTCTTAAAATATGAAATTAAACAATAACTAATAACGATTTTCTCTGCTACTAATAAGATTCATAGAACAACTACCAAGCTGAAATTTATTTTCAAGTATTTTCTAATTGAAAATATAATCAATAATTTAAAACTCTCGTCGTTGACGATTCCATATCATTATTTCTACTTTTTATTGTCTTAAAGTTTATGTCAAATTTTAGATAATAATAAAGTAGCAATGAAGCGTATGATAAGATTACCACCATTGAAAGTCACACCTGGTAACTAATATTGATCTAGACCAAAGTCTTATGACCTTCAAGCAGTTTCAAAACAGCATAAATCGATGATCAGAGAAACTCTTTTACTTTTCTCTTGGTTTACCGTTTCTCGTCATCGTTTGCTTAAATAACAGTGTGCATTCTATGTTACAATGTAATTAGACAAACATAAAGAAAAAATTTAAAAAGAAGAATAGAACATAATATAGTAACACAATTTTTTCTTTACTCATTTTTCATAATAGACTTTGCTTCATTTCTTCACACTGTTGTTCAAGAAAATAATTTAAAACGAATTATTTGAGAAGGGAAGAAGTGTCTTTTGAAATAATAAAATCTGTATTTCCTGCTCATTTGTGAAGGAAAGGAGATTAATATAGGTATGACTTGCTGATTCGAGGCATACTGATGTTTTCTATCTAATAAAAACACTGAATAGTATCTAATTTATATGTTAAAATAATACATAGTATTGCATGTTGACAGTGAACATAATATTTCTTGTCGTGACGCTAATCGCTTACCTACATCCAATATTGAAAATAAGGATTTAATATTCGATTATGCTATTGTCTACACTGTATTAACTGAAAAATCAGAAGAAGATGCTAATAAACTGTCCACAATTGAACGAGCAGGTAAAAATAAAATACGGCAGGATTTCGAAAAATGTTTGATAAAAGAGTATCAATAAAAAATTGTTAAAAAAGAAGTAACAGAAACAATCTATAAATATTGGACGTGGAAATTATGGCATCGACAACAAATAGAGAAAAAAAACCGTGTATATCATGGTTCATGTAACATTCCATGTTCTTTTATTTTCGGCAGAAAATGTACGGACGAACGTGCCAATTCAAGTAAAATAGACGAAAAATAAAACTAGAAGATATTTATAGAAATCTCTTTGTTTAATTGAATACTTTTTTTTCTATTCATATTTTCCAGGAACTTTTGGAAGATAAATCAACTCAAACAACTGTAAGTAAATAATATGCATTACACATTTTTATTGAACATCCTTTTAGCATGATGATTGTAAGATATGCAATCGTTTTATTCGTTGGATCAAAGGTGTATTTTATGACCAAGTTTCATCTGCGACTTATCGACCTTTTTATCATACGGAAGTCTATTCATTAGCAAAGATTGATCAATTTGTGAAATTTTTCGACAAACGAAATTCATCTGAACAGACTAGAAAATGTTCGAATTGTGACAATGTGAGAATTTTCTATATAACATCTTGAAGAAATCGTTCGAGTGAGAAATTGAAGAATTTTTCTGACAGAAAGATATTAAATATATCAAAAGCTTTGCAATATTTTTTGTTCTTAGTTTACAAACATCTCAGTGTTAATAAAGTCACGATTTTAATTCTAAAAGATGTATAATTGTATTATCTGTCACAATTCCAATATATTGTCTTGTGAATATATAGGTAAAATTTCCATGGGATAGACAGAAGAAAATAGTTGAACTCTTATTTCATTTTACTGAATACTTGATTCATAGTCTATTTCTTTTGTTATGGGTAATTGCTGAAAATAGTTATTTTACACCGAGTGAACGACATTGGTTCACGTATGAATTATTTTCACATATCAAACACGAAGTTCCTATGAAGGGTACGAATACATATAACTATTTCGGCATTCAACAATTAATATCTGATGGTATATATGATTCATGTTTTCCTTTACATGAAGTAAAATTTCTATTTATTTATTTCGCATGAATATATGATAGTTTTCTATTTTTATCTCTTTCAAATAAGAACATTAATGATGAGTATAATGATCAACATGTAAGTTATATAAATAATGATTGTTTAATAGCTAATTTAAATATCGGACTATAGAGATTGAATGAATCATGGGGAATGTGGTGTGGATGTTTGAAAGCTCAACCATTTGATTTCATCCGTTCATATAGCGGTGAAAAGATAACATTCTATTTGGCTGCTATCGGTTTCTATACAAATGCACTGATCATACCGGCAATTATTGGATGTGGGTGGGTGAGAAGAAAACACGTTGAAAGGCCCACAGCTACAGCCACTGCCAAATCCACACCAAAACCACATTCCCACACCAAAAACGACGACCATCACACCAATATCAAAACAAAACGAATCAAATGAATTCGCAAATACTCTCTTTCTTCATTATACAGATGAAAACCCACTGACTAATCTAAAACGCGGGTGTGGGTGTGGGGTGTGAATGCGATGAGATCACTTACACCCACACCCAGAAACTAAGATATCAGATTCAGGAGTTCTTCATTCATCGTTTCATCCACTATTCGCGCATAGCTAGTTGACAAACGCGTCTGATGTTCAGTAAAACCGGTTAAGAATTGAACAGCTACAATCAAGTATCTTTTGATTTATTCGAAAAACGCTAGAATATCTTTGATGTTTGAAACCAACCGAGTTGTATCTGTGCAATGTTTTTGAATCTAAATAGTGGAATTCAAGAGCAATAGTTTTTACTCTATGATTCATGAAACCTCTAATTCACTTCGTTAAATATTTTGGGGATTTCTCACTGTTTCTTTCCATGAACCATCCTTAATTATGGTAGCTATTACAGCGAAATTGAAAAATAGAGATGAACAAAAGCTATTTAAACATTTTTTTTATTTTCCTGTGACATAAAGGCAATAATAAATATAAAGTTTCACCTATCACTGATAAATAGACAATCTTGTTCATTGTGTGATTTTGTAGTCTGTTCTATGATAGTTTTAAAAACGATATATTTATATATCTTATAGCTGTCTATCATTCAACGAGCTTTTTGGATCGTCTGTGAACGAATTATTAGTCATAAAATATTATCTTAATTGTTAGACGTACTACTTCCCTTAATAAAATAACTTATTCTCGACTAAGAAAACTCAGAGACACGTATTCAGTTGATAAGAATATGTATGACGGCTTATCAAGCATATACCATAGCATGGTGATTCATGGATCATCTTACAGTGATGATGGAATTCAATCGTTTTCTCATTGCTCGTTTTTTCCTGCTTAGTCAATTGAAAAAGTCTGATTGCACTAAAAACAAAAGATAGAGACCAAAGAGAGTCGTCAGTTTCAAGAATAGCATTTT